ATATAAATAAATAATATTCCAATGAGTTTATGTTTCCAACAATATTCCATTTTAAAGGACACAACAAATTACAAACAACTCTTAGGGCCTGTTCTCATTGGCTGAACTCGGTTGAATTGAACTGAACTGAATTGAACTGAATATTTTATAAGAGAAGGAAATTAGGAGCTGAACTGAACTGAACTGAATTGAGCTGAACTGAACTGAACTGAATTGAATTTCAACGTAAGAGAACAGACCCTTAGTTAAACCAAGTTTATTTGCTAATATAAATTGACTAAATTTTGGACCTAAAAGAGCGTATAAATAAAATTTTCTACACGAGCAACTTGGTCGGGTGTATTAGAATGAATTCCAATTCAATGATTCATATAATGACTAATGAGATTATGTTCTAAATACAGTATCTATCTTACAAAATATAAACAGCGTAATAATAATTTAATTGATCCAACAATTATTGGCACCAGTTGTTTATGTCCGTTGGATGGGGACAACACCAAGAGACAGGATTATCTTGGAAAATTCTCCGCCTCAATTTAATTACAATTGTTAGTGATCGTGGTATTAGTTTTATCACGTCCTAGGCTAGTATTACACGATGTTGTCAATGTATCATAACTCATAGTACGTGTTACAAATCAATGAATTGAATCATAGGGCATGTTATTAGAATTAATAAGTGTATTGATCATGAGATTTGCTTTAGGATATATACAACCCATACAAATAGATATTATTGAGTCTTTATGGTCCACTGGCGCGCCTCTTATGTTGTCAGATTTGTGACGAGCTTGGATTGAGTTGAACCATTTTCAATTAGTAAGTGAATGAATTATCTTTCATACAACCACAAAATAAAATCAATGCTCTCTATATATATTATGAACTTATATTTCCAAGAGACAATGCATTGAAATATTGAATCAGTATAATATTTGGAATTTTGGAAAATGGGTAACTACTAACTAAATATAATTAGTTAAAAAACAATAATTAGTTAAAAAAAAATATAGTTAAAAAAAAAAAAGAGAGAAAATAGGGGGGAATAATTTAAAAATGGGGGCGGGCAAGAAATGAGGGGATCCGAAGATAATGGATAGGAAGTTTTGACAGTTTGATTATTTTCCTTTGTTTGTTCTTTTTTTTTTTTCCTCTTTATAATTTAACCTTCTTCATCCTTTATTTTCTCTTTCTCTCTAAATTATCTTTTTATTTATTTTATCTGTTTGACTAGTGGGATAGGAGGAGGAGGAGGGATTTGGGGTGCAAATCAAAATAATCAACCAAATTAGGGAAGAGTTGGAGGTGTTGAATTCCAACGGTGCAGTCGAGTCACCGGAATTCTTCGCTTCTTTCTCTCCTCAGGTTTGCATTCTCTCTTACTTTATTTTTACATTCGTGTTTTTATCTTAATAATAGACAATAAAGTCGTACATATAGAAAAGTCGTACATATAGGATCTTAGGTTAATTAGAAAGGTATGTTACATACATTATGTTTTAGATGGGTTACAATTTTGTATAATTTCACTACATGGTTTTGCATGTCACAAAATCTTGATAATTTAATAAAGAATCGATGAGGTTGCATGCCAAATTATTTCGCTAAATCAAAATGACCACTAAACGATTCCATAGGTTGGCTTGCTGAATTTCAACACAATTATTTAGATCTTATATTATAAACTATACATTCGTCAAATTGGTACCAAATAAAAAAAAAGGATAAAGGACTTTTCAAAAATAATTTATGCGGAATTTATGTATATATATATATATATATATATATATATATATATATATATATATATATATATATATATATATATATAGAGGAAGGCTCATGTAAGAACCCTCCTCTATATAAGAACTCAATCTTATATAAGAACCAATCTCAACCATTTATTAGTTTTGATCCAACCATCTAAAACCATCCTTTAGTAATGGCATTTCTGTAATTCTTTTTTTATGTTTTAAATTTTTTTCTACTCTTATGTTCTAAATCTAGTCTACCTATTTTCTAATTTTTTTTTTCTATGTTCCAAATTTAGTCTACTTATATACTAAAGTTTTTTTTTTTTTTTTTTTTTTTTTTTTTTCCTATGTTCTAAATTTTTCCAACCTATGTTCTAAAGTTTTTTTTCTTCTTCTTATGTTCTAAATATTCTTTTACCTATGTTCTAAATTCTTTTGCCTATGATCTAAATTCAGTCTACTTATGTTCTAAAGTTTTTTTTTCCTAAGTTCTAAATTTTTACTACCTATGTTCTAAAGTTTCTTTTTTTTTTTCTTTTTTTTTGTTTACGTTCTAAATATTCTTTTACCTATATTCTAAATATTCTTTTATCTATGTTCAAAATTTTTTTTTTCTATGTTCTAAATTTAGTCTACTTATGTTCTAAAGTTTTTTTTTCCTGTGTTCTAAATTTTTTCAACCTATGTTCTAATTTTTTCCTATATTCTAAATTTTTTCTACCTATGTTCTAACGGTTTTTATTTCCTATGTTTAAAATATTCTTTCCTATGTTCAAAATTCTTTTGCCTATGTTCTAAATTCAGTCTACTTATGTTCTAAAGGTTTTTTTTTTTTTTTTTTTTTTTTTTTTTTTTTTTTTTATGTTCTAAACTTTTACTACCTATTTTCTAAAGTTTTTCTTATATAGTTATTTATAAATATTGCCTATGTAGGATTCGAACCTATATCAACTATGCATTTGCATAGTGCTCTACCACTTGAGCTAATAGGTTTTTAATATAAATCAACACCCTCCCATAGAAGCCGAGGAAAACAATCACATGCAATGTAGAAACTCAAATGCGACAATTTTGCATAAAGAAGATCTATGGACACCCCATTGAACTTAAATCTCATCACCGGGACAAAAGCATCAGGCACAGGGTGCAACTTTGTAACCTCAGGCATCTCAGAAAGCATCTAATGGAGTTCTTCGAAGAAATCTTCCTATATCCAGTAAAATATAACAAGTTAAGGGGCACTAAAGTAGCAAAAAATAATGGAAAAAGTATAGAAGCAGACAAAAGTTATATCTTACCTCTCGCGTAGCATGTCTAGGGGCAACACATAGGATATTTATATCAACTCCAGGACTACGCACCTATTTACAACAACCAAAAAAAAAACAAGAAGAAGAATTTAAAGCATAAGAAAACAAATATCTAGAACATAGGAAAAAATTTAGAACATAAGCTGAAAAAATAATTTAAAACATAGGAAAAAATTTAGAACATAAGCTGAAAAAATAATATAGAATATAGGAAAAAAAAATTACTACATAGGAAAAATTTAGAACATAAACAAACAAACATATGAAAAATAATTTAGAACATAGGAAAAAATTTAGAACATAAATTGAAAAAATAATTTCGAACATAGAAAAAAAATTTAAAACATAAGCTGAAAAAATAATTTAAAATATAGGAAAAAATTTAGAACATAAGAAAAACTTTAGAATTTAGGAAAAAAATTTAGATTATAGGAAAATTTAGAACATAAGCAAACCAACTTTTAAAACATAAGAAAAAATTTAGAACATAAGCTGAAAAAAAAATTTAGAACATAAGGAAAAAAAATGTATAATATAGGAAAAAAAATTTAGAACATATGAAAAATTTAGAACCTAAACAAACAAACATTTAGAATATATGAAAAATAATTTAGAATATAGGAAAAAATTTAGAACATAAGCTAAAAAATAATTTAGAACATAGGAAAAAATTTAGAACATAAGCTGAAAAAAAAATTTAGAACATAAGAAAAAATTTAGAACATATGCTGAAAAAAATTATTTAGAACATAGAAAAAAAAATTTAGAACATAAACAAACAAACATTTAAAACATATGAAAAATAATTTAGAACATAAACTGAAAAAAATAATTTAGAATATAGGAAAAAAATTTAAAACATAAGTTGAAAAAATAATTTAGAACATAGGAAAAAATTTAAAACATAAGCCGAAAAAATAATATAGAATATAGGAAAAAAAATTTAAAACATAGGATAAATTTAGAACATATGAAAAATAATTTAGAACATAGGAAAAAATTAAGAACATAATCTGAAAAAATAATTTAGAATATAGGAAAAAATTTAAAACATAAGTTGAAAAAATAATTTAGAACATATGAAAAAATTTAGAATGTAAGCTGAAAAAATAATTTAGAATATATGAAATAATTAGAACATAAGCAGAAAAAAAATTAGAACATAGGAAAACTTTAGAATATAAGCCGAAAAAAGTTTAGAACATAAAGAGGGGTTCTTATATAAGATTGGGTTCTTATATAAGGAGAGGTTCTTACCGGATCCCTCCCCTATATATATATATATATATATATATATAAAACTAATTAACTTGTACCCACTTTAAAAAATTATTTGAATATTTATTGGTTGGTCATCCAAAAGAAGAAACTTTATAGGGGAGTAAAAATGGCTTCTTTAATTTTTCTCAATATTTTTCACATTTTCTTGTCTTTTTCTTAACTTATTTTGATGTGGACATTTGAAAACTTAAGCTTAATTTTCTGTTACCTTTCTTTTTAGTAGAATACATTTGTTGCTATGCATTAATCATTAGCACCCTTAAATTCCCAGATTTCTTTCTCCTTATATATAGAGCAAAAAAAAAACTCTAAATATAAGGATGATCCTTTAATTTTAGGACTCAAAAATAAAATAAAATAAAAATCAGATTATATTTTTTCTTACTAGGTAATTTTTATTTAATAGGGATTGACGAAAAGCGGGTACTAATTATTTGAAGTAAGATTATTACAAGGCTACCTTCAAAAGCCAGAGTTTTCTTTGATTATTAAGTCCCCTTGATTTTTGTAAAGGTAAATTTTCTTTTTCATTTTTGCAGTTTTATTGATTCATAAACGAAACGAAATATTATCATTAATAATTAGTCATACGACACTTATTGTAGTTTTATTGATTAGAATGTTGGTAAATTTTGATGTATGTACAAAGTTATTTTGTAGTGGTGATGATGATGATGTTTGGAATGAAAATGATAGGACCACCAAAAATAAATGAATTTTTTGGAGGACTATCATTTTTTTTTATTTTTTTTTAATAATTGTTTTATTTGATAGAATTATTTTGCTGGCAATGTTTATTAGAGATCATAAAGGCAGACAAACTATGGTTTATATATGAATATGATGTTTCAGTGGAGCATTTTCTTAGCTGAAAGTGAGATGATCATGACATATATGTAGCAAGGAAAATAGGGAAGAATAGAATTTCCGAATTTGTAATAATGTGTTGTGCTTGGGATTTTTTTTATATTTTTTTATCGAAAAATTGGTAAAAATTTATGTTAGCTAGGTATGGGTTGTGTAAACTTTTTTAGTAACAAATTTGAGAAAAATTTATCTCAATGTTTTGTGCTAGGCTAGATTTGATGCCTCTCTTGCTGTTATATGTTCTGTCATTAAAAAATAAAAAAGCATCAGAAATGATGTCTGTTTTTCTGTTTTCTATTTCTTGTGTATGAATGTTGTTCTAATTGTGTGTGTGATCATAGGTACTCAATTCCCTCGAACGTGTCATCGTGTTTGGTAGAAGGTTTTCTTAGTTGGGCGCCTCAGAATAGCTAGGAAAGCTATCATTGTTGTTGGGTTTTTGAAGCATAAAAGATGGGTGGGTGTGTTTCAACAACACACTCTAAAGTTGCTCCTCATAGGAAGAAGTATACTAGAAGATCGAGAAAGTGTCGTGGAAAGTTGAGCTCAAACATGGGAGAGACTCCTATCAAAAGGAAATCATTTAGTGATACAGGAAGCCGCATCTCTGTGAGCGAGTTTGTACAGATTGACATTGATAAGGGAGGCACCACTACTTGCAGGAGATCCGAGGTCTCTAATAAATCATTCCATCTAACCCAAGTGCATTGGAACCACGTCGATGAAAATGGTAAGGCTTCTGTCTTTACACCTTAAATAAACAAGGAGTAGTTTTCATTTGAGTTTAAATAAATTCACAAAAAAGAAAAGGTTTTATCATAAGTTCTGAGAAATTTAGAAAAGATTTTAATAAGGTGAAAAGAACGAAGCCTATTTTAGACCAAGCATGGTTTATAATCTTATGATGGTATTCTGTGTGTATGTAGGAATTTGTCAGGAAGAAGCATGGTATGACTCAGTGAGCATACTAGATTCTGAATCTGACGATGATTTTATCAGTGTTTTCGGAGGTTAGCAGGACCATTCATGTCAATATACTAGTTTGAAGAATGGTTTCATATTTAGCATGGCATCTATTTTACTGATTATTGCATGATTATTGTTTACGGGGGTTGGTAGATGGAAAAATTCTCAACATGTCAAACCTGTGGTCAGGTGCACACATGTTGCGTCCCCAAGCAGGACTTTCAATTCCATGTGCTAATGGTGATGAAAAGGCACTATCAGGAGGCTCTTGGTCCGCGATTTCACCTTCAGTTTTCAGGGTTAGAGGCGAAAATTACTTTAAGTGAGTTGATATCTTTTTACATGCACCTTCATTTGTATGTCCTCTTCTGCAGCAGGTCTTGTAAACAAGCACAGTCACCACGAATTTCATAGTGTCACCTTAAAAGGCCTAAGTCACATAAATGTAAATACTTAGTGTGAAGTTAATAACATATTTGATCTGACCAGTTGTGAAATTTATAAAATACGGGGTGACTAAGTCTGTTGCGTACACTGTACAGATTACATCAGAAGTTTTAGTGCACATTTTAAGTTGATGTGAAGATCTAATTACACAAAATGACATCTTTGACATGCAGAGACAAAATGAAAAATGTAGCACCAGGTTACTGTCCTTATACTCCCATTGGTGTAGATTTGTTCGCTTGCTCAGAAAAGATAAGCCACATTGCTCAGCACCTTGAGCTTCCCTCAGTTCAAGGGAACAGCAAATTGCCGCCACTATTGATTGTTAATATACAGGTTTGGCACTTTCCTCTTTGAGCATTTTTTTTGGGAATGGTCATTTTCTAAGATTAATGTTTCTGTTTTTCTTCACAGATGCCTACTTATGCTCCTTCAATGTTCCTAGGTGATATCGATGGTGAAGGTATAAGCCTTGTGCTGTATTTCAGGCTATCTGACAATTTTGACCAAGACGTTCCATCAGATTTCATCGACAGCGTCAAGGTACTTGTTTGGCCTCTAAAGTACTAGCAGGGAAACTGATGTGGCATATACTATAATTACCTAGAAAATTAGTTCTAAAGAGAGGACATGTTCTTACAATGCAGAAATTGGTGGATAATGATACTGAGAAGCTTAAATCAGTGGTTCCTTACCGAGAAAGACTTAAAATCTTGTCAGGGGTTGTAAATCCGGAGGATCTTCAGTTAAGTTCTACTGAAAAGAGACTTCTGAATGCTTATAAGGACAAACCAGTTCTGTCACGCCCTCAGCATGAATTTTTCAAGGTTCGACATCATCCTCTCCTTGATTGAATTGATGGATCAGTATTTGCACGGTTTCAATAATTAGTACTCGTAGTTGTTATAGTTGAGGAGCACAATTCTGATGATTTTGGCAAATGTGTTATCTTTCAATTTTCTATTGCTTGTGATTATTCTGCAATCTGCATCTAATAATGCTCCTGTTTTTTTTTCATATAGGGACCTGACTATTTTGAAATCGACATAGATGTGCACCGATTCAGTTATGTGTCCAGGAAAGCATTAGAATCATTGCGAGAACGATTGAAAGAAGGAATTCTTGATCTTGGTTTGACTATTCAGGTACAAAGATATGTTTTTTATCAAGAAAAAAACACTTCTGATGTCTTGATTAGTCTTGTCAGAATCTTCTTAGTCTTTTTGTTTCTAAAGACATGATCTTATCCTCAAGTTTCTTTCTTATGCTGTATTCATTAACACAACTGACAGCATTCTTCGATTAATCGATTGAATTTCAGGCTCAAAAACCAGAGGAATTACCAGAAAAGGTGCTGTGCTGCATGAGACTGAATAAACTCGATTTTGTAAATAGTGGCCAAATATCCACACTTATGACCCTCAATGATGATTAAATTAAAATTGAAAACAAGTTTAGTTTGCTGGGAAGCCTTTCAGAGATCACAATATGAAGACAGTTGACACATTCTTTGTATAGTTTGTATCTGTATACTTCACAGTTCACAGTAATTTTTTAGTGAGTTAAAGAGAAGGGTAAAATATAATAAAATGGTAGGAGAATCTAATTCTTTTCTAGAAGTCCTTCCTATATGAAGTCATATCTCTCCTCACTCCCTGTCATTTAATCTTTGTTGAACTTCTCTTGAAGTCTAGGCACACCATCATTCTTCTGAGATTTGTTGCTATCTTGTACAGCATAAGCACACTGTAATTTTAGTATCATTGCATACTGATCATTCACAAAAGAAAACCTTTTTCGACTACCTTTTGGAAGGGCCTTGTATTAGGAAATTGGCAGGACAGTGAATGACAATGGCTGGTGTTGCGGCTGTTGTCCTTTTTGTTCATGGGCTCGAAGCCTCCGAGCCTCATAAGTACAATATGGTTACTGCAGAACACACTGTGGTGCAGTCTTTATCATCTGAAAGATTAGGCTAACCCGAAACTACATGACTCAATTAAAACAAGCCTTACCTATATATTGGCGGATCATGCATTCATTTTATGTGTAAAGTAACAAATCCTAACAAACATATTTATTTACTGTCAGTTCCGACCACAAAATGATGAGTAGATCCTTCTAACAATAGTTCTCATAACCAGATCTGTGGTTCAGTTTAGGATCATAAAACTATTGTTCAAGACTCAGTACTTTCGAGTCAGGTTTCTTGTTGTGTCAAGTTTTGACAGGTTTAAACCCCATTATTATGCGGTATAACATAGTGTTGCAATTTTCTGATGTAAAATGGTCAAAATTGCAAGAGTTGACATCTTACCACACCCAAGTACTAGAAGTGTTACATTGTGCTCGGACTTTCAGCTGTTTGGAATGAATCTGAACACCAAATTGCAGTTTTGTTTCCAATTGCGCAGAATACAAAGTAAAGCCCTATAATGCCCAGATATAACCCCCCATAAATCTCCAGACCAATTCTTTAGATGCCCCTAAAATTTTCAAAACACTACTGTGATATGCAGTTTTCGGCTACTTACATATCTCAGAGGTATATCCTATCATTCTGCAATCCTGAGAACCACATATACCCAGCACCACAACAGCAGAAACAGTTGGTTTCAAGTAGTTCAAAGTTGCAATCATATACCTTTATGATTCATTGCTCAAGTCTCAAGATTTGGGAGTTTGATGAAATTTGAAGAAGAGGAACCAGTAACCCTTTTTTTTTCCTACATAAATGAACAAGTGGTACAATTCTTTGTTTTCCCATATACAAAAGAATACATGTCAAAAAATCAAAATAATTAGATACTAGACTAGTGTACACAATCTACACATACAACAAAGTTACTAACAAATACAATAAAAACATAAATATTTCCCAGATATTTATGAGATTCTCGATTTCAAATATTCAACAATGTTCTCTATCTCTTGTATACTTGGCTCTTTCCTGTGTGTATCAGTTGCAAGGTCCCTGGGCCAAGATAAAATTCTGGCCAAGCAGATTCAAAGAAAGAATAGAGTATCCAACATATTGAAGGACATCTGTATCTGTATCTTGACTCTTAAATAATTTCTTTTGACACAAGTCTATGTAATTCTTTCTTCTTTTAACCTTAGAAGTGCTACAGGTTGTTGATGAGTATTTGTAAATTCTGTCTTACCAGCATAAGAATTGGTATTAACTGCTGAATTGTGTGGTCTCAGTTGTGATGAGCTGTTTGCTGTATTGTGGCTACTCATTCTAGCAGCTGGTACATCATGGTCATGCTTGCCTTCATAAGTTGTAATGACTGCTTTAGGGTCTGAGGCTGCACGTTCTACATGCTTACGCACATTGCATCCAGCATAAGTGCATTTATAATAACTCCTGTTGAGAAAGTACACATATGTCAGATGGATGTAGACTGTAAAACGAACGTAACTATTGGCAACTTCACTTAAGTGGTACATAAAATTACATGCCAAATAGATTATAATAATACAGGAGTAACTGGAAACATGAATGGATATTATAAATTCCGACACATTAAGGGCAATTCTACCCATAGATGATTCAAAGATGAACACCTTAATACCTTACACAACTACTGTTATTCAAAACTCGAATTCCCTTCTTGGTTAGCCTGTTGCCAGGATCAGGCTTTCAGGACACCTATGCATGCACTTTTGGCAGACCCACCATTTTCTATATCTTTCTTGATGGTTTATCACACAGATATCCTACCATAACTTAACAATTCTATACAATCACATTACTAAAGACAATACGGAGTAAATGAAAATTACAGGGGAGAATGGTTTTGTTTGCATCATTGCACAATGCATGTACTATTGAATCTTCCTTAATCACATAGTATTAAATTTCAGCAAGGTCAATAATAGATCTCTCTCAATATTATATCGATATCCATGCATTTGAATTTTAACATCACACAAGACCATGACACTACGGAAGAGAATTCACAGCTAACAAACACAATAGAAAATCTCTGGGAAAAAAATATACAATTAGGATTTCTTATACTTATTAGACAATAGCAATAATAAATTTATTTTGAAGGGGGGAGTTTACAGAAACTTGATCCTCATGGTTCCATATAAAGCTCTGAAATTGAATTTTGGTTTCAGATTTTCACAGTAACCTTACTAAAACCAACCAACAAATTCAAAAGATCCCTAATGCAACTGATTAGCTCACACCATCAGAACATTGATCAGTTCTCAAAACTAATACATATTCCTTACATGATAAGGTCATTTACCTATATCTTATCTTCTTAAAAGGCTCCGTGATAGCTAATACACAAAAGATAAGTTCAAAGGGAAGCAAGGCAGTATATTGGTCAATACAATAACAAAACCTCAAAACACTTCAGAGCATCAAGTACCCTCTTTTTCCAATTTTTTTCCTGTACTCCAGCCAGTTTGAGGAAACAGCATTAGAAAATTGTATGCCTTTCCTATTCATGGCTCTTTTATCATGGGATCATATTTAAATTACTAAAGCTAGTGTATACCCCAAGCGACGCCCCGGATAGTAATTTTGTAATTTAAAAATACATATTCCTTGAAGGGTTGACATGCATTTGAAGTCTTCCTTAAGGTATTAAGTTGACAATGATAGTACCAGTCTATGGAGAGGTTAGACGTGAAATTTTTTGACTTGAACATGTCAAAGGCATTCTAAACTCAAACTACGCACATCATTTAATACCTAAACTAGCACAATAACAACAAGAAGTCGAAACCTTTTAGTATACTGGCAGCATAGAAATTAGCACTTTAACAACCTCACCCCAATGCCACATTGAGAACATAATAAGCAGCAATCACATGGAATATTTAACTAGCATCCTGACTCCAATTCAGGGACCAATTTTCATATAGTTGCAAATATTGCAATACAGAGCATTCATAATTAAAAAGCTAAAAGTTATGTTTGAGACTAAAGGACAGCTATATACAACCACAGAGCTAGAAAGTGCCTTCAGTTAAAACTTCCACTAAACCTCAACTATCTCCAATACAGTTATAAAGATGTAAGTTAAGCTTCAGCTATGGTGAAAGTACAGAAGAAAGGGAAAAGGGTTATTCGCCAACTCATTATCAGACAGCATATTCAGATAAATATAGTGAAGAAGTTGTAATTGATACATGCTCCTTGAAGGGATGGCAAGCAGATATTATAACACATGCAGCTTAATATCATAATGAGAAAATTGCAAAAATACAATCTAGACAAAAACTTGCAGCACAATGCACCAATTAATAAGGAGTTGTTTGGAAAGATAATTGATAACCTGTTGATTGTGCATCTGTATGGACTACAAATTGATATACTAGATTTATCAATCATTAAATAGGGAAGTTGAAAGTAACAGATACTTGCCATACTTCACAATAAGTATCATCATGCACAAAAAGGATCACTACCAAAAGCTCAAAATTGATAAAGGAATAGTGTTAACATTCGAAATAGTTCCTATATAGCGTGTAGTCACCCATATATTAACCGAAGAAAATTCACTTGCCTTGGATATGGGTTGCCTTTGACAACTTTCTGTCCATACTTGCGCCACCTATAACCATCATCCAGAAGATCAACTTCACTAGTTGTTTGAACTATAATTCTGGGTTCTGTAACTGTCCTATGTGAAGCTGCTTGCTCTGTAACCCGGACTTCAGTAATCCTTCGCAAGCAAGTGAAAAAGTCTGATCAGCACAAAATCAGGAAACCAAGGCATCAACAGTATATAGGTTCAATGCAGATACAATACATACCTTCTCTTGGCATTAGGTTCATCTTCATCCCCATCGGCTTCTCTAGTTCCACCATTGCCCACTTCCTCCTCATCACTAGATAATTGCTCTGTTGTAGCTTGGCTAGATTCTTGATCTCTTTTAGGCAACGAGTAAGCCATACTGTCACTATTGCTATTCAAGTTACTAGCTTGTGGCTGCGAAACAGACTCTGGGTTTCCTTGAGTTCCCAGATTTTCATTATTATTTCCGCTGTCCTTTGAACGTTTTTGTGGTGGCTGATGATTGTGCTGACCCTTGTAGATAATCTCGGTCACTTGGCCATCAAGAGAACGCTCCACTTTTTTCTTGACAGGACAACCAGCGTGTGTGCATTTGTAATAACTTCGTGGATACTCACTTCCTTTGACTTGCTTCTGTCCATATTTCCTCCAGTTGTAGCCATCATCAGCAGGCTTATCAACAATGATTGATGAGTAGTTTGATCTTTGATCAGAACCAGAAACTTGGGCTGACTCCTTAATATCTCTGGAATCATGTGCAGAAGATGTTATATTCTGTTGCACTGATGTATCGGGGGCAAAACCTGGAAATGGCTCTGATGCCGAAGGACCTAATGCTAATGAAGATTGAAAGCCACCTTGCATATGCAAATTAGCTTGGGCCTGCACAGCTTGTGCAGTAACCTGAGCTAATGCCTGCTGGTGAGACATCCCGAATGGGCCCTACAGACAAACATTCTATAATTAGAGGTACGGCTTCAAGTTTCAAGTTTCAACCATATGTGTCTTCCGTGATTTCCTAGTAGAATCAAAACAGTTTGTCCATGAAAGAATAATTAATCAAAGCCTCAAAGGGACATAGACTCTTTTCCCATGAAAGTTTTGATGAACACAAATATACATGTAAGAAAACTGTTTCCTTTTAATGTGCAAAATGACCGCCACAAACTCTTTAGCATGAAAATTTTGTCAACCAAACACTGAATACTTTTCATTGTGAAAATTGTGCTCATTTTTGTAACAGAGATCCATCTACTTCCTGTGCTAAAGGGTTATGAGGCCTCATAAAAAGAATCAAATGCTTTTCAGTACAAACTACAACACACTTAATATACACAAACGAAAATTCAGCATGAACCAGTGTCTGAAACAGATTTATAATCACCTATAATTCACACTGCCTCTTACAAACAGAAAGACATTATTTTTAAGTACCCACATATATATATCTCTCAGCAAGCAAGCTTCATGAATCTACTACCGCGAATTCTACCTCATTTCTTGCTCAAATTCCGATATTTTTCTGAGTAATACCTTGGCATTTTACCAAAATTCACAAAATTTCTTTCAACGGGAGGTAGCAATCCATCATAAAATTCTTAAATATCAATTTTTAAAAAAGCAAATCATTTACTTTCGCCCCATTCACCATTCCCGAAATCAAACAAACCCACCATCAAAATTCATCATCATTATCAATTTATCATATTCATGATCATAATCATTCCCTTCAATCCCAACAAAAATAAAATTTCATGATTACATCTGTGTCTTATCAGCTTTAAACCCAAGTCCTCACTAAGTCAACTCTACATTTTGCTACCAAAAATCTTTCTTTACATTTTTTTTTTCGGCAAAATTACACAATCACCAAATTATTAGAAAACAAAAACAATAAAATCCAAAACTCATACAACAAACAATTATAAGAACCAACCTGTCCAGGAAACAAACCAGGCGAATCGAGCAAAGTAGCCGGACTAATCCCAGGAGAAAGCATAAAAAACCCTCCTCCTCCTCCGGCGCCGCCTTGCTGTGGCGGCGGTTGCGGCGGCGGAGAAATGAGCAAACCGGAAGGACGGTTATCCTTAAACCGGACTTGGTCCGGTTCAGAGGGCGGTCGAGGGGAAGCAATAGCACCAGCTAAGAGCTGAGAGAAGGAGCGGCAGTCGGAATCAGGATCGTTCTCGGAGAAGAAATTGGACACCAGTGTCATCGGGCCAGGGCTGAGCCCGAAACCTGACCCGGTAAACAAGGACTCGATCCCGGCTCTAGAAGGTAGTGTTATCGTCGGCCGTTGCGACGACGTAGACGGTGGCGCCGGCGGTGGTTTAGCTGAGGATGGTGCGTCTTTGTTATCCGCCATTTTTGTTACTTCAATTCTCTCTCTCCTCTTCTCGCACTTGCGCGGTTGTTTTTTTTTTTTTTTCTTTTTTTTTTTCTTCTGAGCAGGTGCTGCAAGAAAAATGAGAGAAAAGGTTGAAGTGCCTTTCTATGAGTTTCGATTTTTTTTTTTGTTTTTTAATTATATTTGTTTAATTATTTATCAGGATCAAAGAGTACTTTTGGAAAAAACAAATTTTGGATCAAGGAGTAGATTACAAAACATTCAATGTACAGTAACATACAACAATGTCCTTTTATTTGTTTCTTTGATTTCTCTTAATGACTACGATTGCAGAGTTGTATAACAAGTACTTCTTCCGTCTCATAATACAAAACATATTTGAGATTTTTCATATGAATTAAGAAAGTTGTAGATTCCTTAAAATTAAGGATTAGAAGTAATAGAAAGTAAGAAAAAGTCGTACATGGGAATAATTAAAGAGATAGAAAAAGAAAGTGTTGAATAATGTATACTTACAAGGAACGGATGATATATAAAAATGCAAAAGTCAAATAATACGCTTGAATATTAATATATTTCTATACATAATTAAAAAAAAAAAATTATAGTCTTGTCAATAGTTATTTAAATCATCATATATTATATTAATATCAATTATTATCTAGTTTTTATTTATTAATAATTAAAAATATTATTAATTAAAGGGGTTTATATGCTTTTAAAAATAAAAAATTAAAAAAATAAAGGTTTATATTAATATACTCCGTACCTATTTAAAAGAAGCGTTTTAATTAAAACAAACAAGGCAATAGTGTATAGTATGTATTGAATCCAAGCATAGGATTGATTTTTGGATGATAGTGAGAAAACAGAAATTTTGATATAGAAAATGCCGTGGTTTTCATGTCTATGTGCTTTATTATGGGTTTATTTTGTTAGGCAACTGATTTTTAATTTTTAAAGGAGGCGGCTGAGCCTATGATTGAAAATGGTATTGGCAAGTGGCAACCTTGGTCCAATAATATTATTTTTATAATTTTATGTACTTCATTTATTAAAATTGTGGGGAGATCGCATGTAGCCACTAGTTATCGTGCGCGACTATAAAATGCAACGTGGTTCATAACTTGGCAACCCCATATTTTTGCCTCAATTCCCACGTCGTCCCTACACAACTATCTTTCAGTATCCACTTTCCTTCGACTCTATATTTAATTTGAAACGGCTGAGTAGTTCAAGCGTTTGTTCCAGAGTTGCTCTTTTTGTAGCTGTGAAAATGATAAATTTTCATAAGGTTTTTCAAAATTGAAATTGACATTGTCAACAAAGATCGTGAATTATTTTTTTGTTTTTCCCTTTGGTTAATTTTTCGGCAATTGGAATACTAATATAATACCCCCTTTGGTATTTTGACTTTTATGGATTTTTTTTAAAAGGTTTATTGAATTTGTTAAATATAGATAGTGGGGTATAAATTAAGGGCATGTTCTCATAGACTGAACTCAGGTGAACTGAGTTGAAATGAATATTTTATAAGAGAAGGAAATTAGGAGCTGAACTGAAATGAGTTGAACTGAACTGAAATGAAAATAAACGTATGAGAACATGGCCTAAGGATGGACAATTTTTATAAATAAACATGCGTAAAAAGGATGTGATTTCTCATTTCATAATTGACTAGCTTAAGAAGGAATTAAAAGCATAATAGAAGATCGAGGAAGAATGAGAAAATACAATTCAAGGTTAGGGGTCGTTTGCTTCACGCAAGGTAAACAGAATGGAATGAACAAAGGCCAAAGGGAATGGGAAAATAATGGAATGAAAGTACCTTATATTCTCTATGTTGTTTGTTTTAAAAACAAAGGGAAACAATCCCATCAGTCCTACCACCACAGAAACCATCCCACAACCATCACACAACCACCTAATTCATTCACTTTCCACCTTTTCCAGCCACCATTCGTCCTCCAAACCACCCATCGCACCTCCCCCGCCATTCGCTGGCCCCTGCGCAGCTCTCCCCTCCCCCGAAAATCAGCCGCGAGAAACCCTAGAAACATCCCTTCCCCGATAAACATCCCAGTCGTTTTACAGTGAATGAGAAGATTTTTTTTTTGGTTTTTACGGGGATGGGGATAGGGTTTCGGGAGTGCGGATGGCCGACATGGGAAAGGGTGGTGCGATGAGGGATGGGGGAGAGAAGGTGAGTGGTGAGTTGGTGAGGTGGTTGGGCGTGGTGCGGGTTTCTACTAATTTGGGTAGGTAGGAGGGTGGTGGTATGGTCGTGTAGTGGTGGCTAAGGAATGAGAATAGAAATACCTAGGGGGTAGAAAATCAATTTAGAAGGATTTGTAAATAAACAATAAAAAATGTATACTGTTCATGGTAGAACAATGCACATTTTTGGTAAATCACTAATGGTATAAGTGGTTTTACCATGAACGGTGTATATGTATTTACTTTTCCATTTATTTACAAGTTTGTCATTTCACTTTTAATGGAATGCCTAGTCGTATTCATAAAAACTTATTAAGGGTATTGTCGTCATTTAGCTCAAGACTCACAGCAAAGAAAGCAGGGAAAGCATGTCCTTTTCCTACGGAGCAAATCTGAGTGATAAACTGCTAAAATTCCAGCATTTAAACTGAAGCACAATTTCACTGATTTTACACAAAATCAACCTCGATTTTCATGGAGAAAGGCACTGCTACGCCACTCACTAAACCACTTCGATGCATCGTCAAGCTCGGTCTTTTTTCTCTCCTCCTTTTATTTCATACTTTACTCATTTTAATTAGCTTTATTCATGTTAATCATGGACAATGAACTAAACTAAGATGGGAAGTGGGTTGGTTGTGTTTTAATCCGATTGAGATTTGTAAATGCCTGATTAGTTTAGTTGGTTAAAGTCTCGGGTGGGAATATGAGAGTACCCACAAATTTGGGTTTATAACAAGAATAAGATGTGGGTTTTTGAAGTTGGCATGTTTGATCAGTTTAAATGCTAGAAATGAAATATGGTATTTTGTGTTGGTTGCTATGATTTCTAAGAAATTGATTCAGATTTTTTTTTAGTTGTCAAGTTTAGTGGTAAATTTGTACTCAAGACTTAGGATTGAATCCCACCTACATCATTGAACTTTTTAGGCTCCGTATGCATTAATTAAATAGATTTATTCGGTTAAAAACTAGAATAGGATGTGTGTTTTTGAAGTTGGCATGTATGGTCAGTTTAAATGCTGGAAATGAGATATAGTATTCTATGTCGGTTGCTACGATTTATTAAAAAATGATTTAGATTTTGTTTGTTGTCAAGTTTAGGAGGTGCAGCAATTACTTGCAAGAATGAATTGGAGAAGATAAATGAAGAAAATTTGAGAGCGGTTTCGATACACTTGAGAGAAGCAATGATGTCTGGTGAAATTGTGGATATGGATTGGAGTAAAAGGCCTGAGAAAGCAGATGTTTCTGTAGATGTAGATGGCATTTCAGATCAAATAACATTGGAGTCCAGCAACTTTGTTGTTGTTCATGGAGCTGGTTCGTTAACTCGTTTTGATGACCCTTTTGTTTTGGATGCATTATTCAACTGGAAGACTTGATTGTTGCCATTCTATTTATATTTAGTAGCTGATTAGAAATGTTGGCTATGTTGCATCTTAAGTAGGTTGAATCAAATACAGATTATTCTCGAGCCTTGACCAGTATATTTGAATCTTGATTACTTGTTTCTGTGTGTGTTATAGTTTGCTTTGATCATTTATGTGGTTGAACTCGATTAAGCTTTCACCTGTTTATAGAATAATGCCTTGAGGGGAGAAAAGGTATGAGATCTGAGATATCATTGAAAGTGAACTAAGGAAGGTAGATGAGCTGTGCATTTTAATATCCGAAAAGTCATCTGAAATCAGTGGCATTTATCATTGGGAAGCCTGTATAGTGTATAGTCTTGGTAGATTGTGGTTTGTGACAAGCTAGTGGACCAGAAGTCATATGGTCTCTGTGCTATAATGCAAAACTGGTCATAACAAGAGACATTTCTTCCATATTTCAAAACGATTAACTCAGGTTTTAGTAGCTGTGCATTTGTTCTGTTTTATTTCGACATTGGTGAGGTGGATTGTAGTGAACATCTATTAGTTATAAAGTTCATTAAGTATTGTAATTCTAATGCTTGACGTAGTGAGCTTTCATATATTCTATGTGCATGCCTCTTTGGTGATCCTAAGTACATGAACCTTCCTGCTTATCTAGGCTCATTCGGTCATTTTCAAGCCAGCAAATCAGGGGCACACAAGGGAGGATTGGATCAGTCTCTTGTCAAAGCCGGCTTTGTTGCGACCAGAATTTCAGTAAGTGTTGTTGAATTCCCCCTAAATTTGCAGCAAGATATAAGTTTGTCCATTAGTTTGTAATTGCTAAATTCTTGAAAAAGCTCAGTCAAAGTATAAAAACTTGTGCCTGATGTGGCTATCTTTCTAAGCTGCCTTGACTAGCGCATTTTAAAGCTTTTCATATGGTGGTTTTTTAAGAGTATCATTAGTTTATTTTTTACAGGTCACATCACTCAATCTTGAAATTGTGAGGGCACTAGCTCGAGGTAAATTTAGTGTTGCAGTAATTTCAATATATCTTGATTGCCTTTTATTTTATGTTCCTGGTTAAGTGGAGGTGTATATATTAATCTACTTTTTAAGAAAAAAAATCGAGGGAATGGCTGGAACCATTGGAAATTCTATGAAAAGCTTGGATATTGAAGTTTATTCATTCTGTACCAGACTTGTAAGTATTAAAACCTTACAATAGAATTACACTCTTTAATTCGTGTGGTTTAAAACACTCCGTTTCCAAAAAGTTTGAAACTGTAAATAAACATTGATACCAAGAAGAATACTGCTTCTTGATCTGTGCTACCTATTTGTTTGGGAGGGAAAAGTTGTTGGATGGCGAAAAGGGATTCTCGTTTTGCAAATTAAACTATATTTGCTGCTCTTGAGTTTGTTGCAAAACACTTAAGCCTCAAATTATTTTACATACATCCATATCTTCAACTAAGTGCTTCATATAAGTACTTGAAGGAATATTACGTATTTACGTATGTGCTTGAGTAAAAGATATGGTGATTAACTAACTTGCTGCTCTATTACAGAGGGTATCCCTTCAGTTGGAATATCTCCATTTTCGGGTGGATGGACAACGTTTCAGAGAAATGTTAGTGACTATTGATAATGTCAATTTTTGTAACTCATATGCTTTTCTCCTGCAAACATACCTTTAGACATGAGTACTCCATAAACCTAATTTAATCAATGCAGCATTGTATATACAGGTTGCTTCCGCTGATGTCACAACAGTGGCTAAAACTATTGACTCTGGTTTCATCCCTGTAAGTCCAATGTTCGTATGCTGTTACTGTGCCAAAGATAACACCAACAAATAGCATTTTTCTTCTTTGACATGTAGTTGTTGGTGTATTCAAGCTGCCATTTAAAAATCTTTATTGATACATGCATGACCATTAATATTGTCTTGATTACTAGGTCCTGCATGGGGATGCAGTGCTTGATCATTCACAGGTTTGTCATCATATGTCTAGCTCTTTACTTTACCTGTTTAAAATAATTTTCTTGTGCTTGCTTACATGATTATACCTACAGGGTTGCACAATTTTGAGTGGGGATGTTATTATACGGCATATTGCAGAGATCTTGAAGCCTAAATATGTTGTTTTCCTTGTATCCCTTTTGTTGGTGTATATCTTTTGTGAAGATGGTCCACTAAAACTATTGCGTAAAAGGTTTAAGTATGAAATAGGTATTTGATGCCAAAAATTTTCTGTTCATTAGCTTTGTTTCCATCAGATCTTGAATGTCGTCTCCCTTCACTGTGACATTTTTAACATGTGTTGTTGATCAGTAAATGATTAATCATCTGAAAACATAGTTACCTAATGCTCTAGTATGAGATTGGGTATGATTATGCAGTTCACTACCTAATATGTTAATTTAAGCCAAGAATATACCACTTGATTAGCATTGTTTCAGCAAGCAGTTCATAAAAGTTTTCCTATACAATCATTTATCAAGACAGATGTTTTTGGTGTATATGACCGTCCACCATCAGAACCTGATGCAATGTTGTTAAAAGAGATAGGTAAGCAGTCTCTGGGGGAATGCACTGTTCTGTGACTTTTCTCAGTTGAAAGTTTAGATGTGAGTAATCATTATGATGTTTCTACACAAATGCATGATCTATTTTAGCTTCTAACAGCTGTCGATGAAGAAGGAAGTTGGCGTGTTGTGAATCCGGCCCCAAAATCTATGAATGAACAAGGTATATGATTTGCAGATGATTTAATTTCTGAACAATGCTGGAAAGATAAATTCTCAGTGCTTTGGAATGTTTCTGAGTATTGACTTATCATGGATCATATTATAGAATGCTATACAACCATTGAAAATTATATAATTCTGTTAGGATCCTTTCATCTCTTTCTGTGAATAGTTGAAGCCTAATAAACTACACTGAGGATCTGTAGAGTTATTTAATGCATGAAGGAATTTGAGAAGACATCAGTGGACTGAATAATTGAACGCTGATTCCTGTTTTTTTATTTTTTTGTCTACAGTTCAATCTTATATTATTTCAAATTTTCATCTAATTGAAATATATGAAGACAGTTACTACTCAATATGCAGTGCATACAGGCAGCTACTGTATTTAATGAGTTCATCTTATCATGAATCTGTAACAGTTGAGATCCCTGGTTTTTAATCAACCATAGTGCTTGGTTTTAGTTGCTTTCCTGTTTACACTATATTGTGCTCTTACATAGTAGTTGCAGATGATAAGAAATTGCTGTAAATAGACTAATTGAATGTCTGTGGGAGGAGAGACAAGGGTTTTGGGGAACATGACCTATTGATAAATTCTTCTGCACTTATAAATGAGTCAGGGGAAATTTCACATTTAGCCCCTATGAAGAATAAAAAGTGATATGCTTCTCATCCAGTTATTGTGTAATACAGTTGAGATAACTGTTGCTGCTCATGATACAACCGGAGGCATGGTGACCAAAATTTCCGAAGCAGCAGCTATTGCAAAACTTGGTATTGATGTATATATCGTAAAGGTAAACACTTCTTCCCACTTGTGAGATTCTATCTAAGCCAATTGAACATTTTCCAGTGATTATGAGTAAAGCTTGCTGCAAAAGTCTCTGGAGGGGGTAGTGAAATCTAATTTTGAATCTACCTATCTTTCTCATTGTTATAAACTACCCAAAAGGGCCAAAACCACAAAACTCTTCTCCCTCCCCCCCCCCCCCTTCCTTCTCTTCCAAATATGGGTTCCCAGGGGTTTGAGAATCAATATTGGCTGTAACTTCTTTGCCTTTAACTCAATATCGCAAGTGTTGTCGTTTGAAATATCTTTGTCTGCTGCAGGCAGCCACAGATCATTCCTTGAAGGCCTTAAAAGGGGAAGTAAAAGGGAAAATTCCTGATGATTGGATGGGTACAGCCATCCGTTTTATGAGAAAATAATTATCAACAGCTTGTCATGTGCATCAGAGACAGCATAATCATATATAATCCGTTACCTCTGGTAATCCCTGACTACCATATACCTAAGCATAACATCCTTGACTCTGTCTGCAATTTCATAACTCATAAATCAGCGAAACTCACCATTTTTGGACAGTAACCCTTTTTGGTATTTCCCCTATGTAACCCGCAGAAACTGTTTGCTTTGCTAGAGGGAACCATAGCATGAATCAATAAGCATACAGAGTGGATTGTTTTTATTAGGGTCATCAGTTTATTTTTTATGTTACATTTAGACATGACAAGTTTTAGATCTCATCTCAAAATACTGTTTTTGTCTCTTCTGTATCAAACTATAGCCACAATTGAGTGAATTAATGTTCATTACAATTTGTTGACATTCTGAAGTTTTGTAGATTTTGTTGAAGTTAAGTTTTTATAGAGCATTCGAGCATAATGGACTTAAAACTAAATCGTTATAGCAAAGTAAAAAAAAATTATGTGAATGGAGAAAGTGCTACTCTTTGTGGAGTATCAATATTGATATGTGACATAATGAGGGACAAAAGTTATGTTTTAAATGTAGAACCTGACTTATCAGTGTTTGAATTTACGCAGTATAAAATTCAAAAGAATCATATTAATCAAGTTAATGTTTGAAAATTGTAATTGTAAGTAATATAGGTAACAGGTGTAAAAAAATAAAAAAAAATAAAAAATAATAAAAAATGAAAGTAATTTTTTAAATTCATGAGAAAATATATGGTAGGAATCACATGAAAGTTGTCATTCTTAGAGAAAGCTACAGTATTCTGTAGATACAATAGTCTTTGATGTGCTTGATTATATCTGGACCACTATAAGTTTATAGATTTCCCTGAGCCTGGTCATCTTCTTTCTTCTTAAGGAGGAGCTGCACAAACCCTTCAAGTGCTTCATCAATGTCATCGCTTTTCATCAGTTCCTCTGCTGCTGCTGCAGGGGTAACTTGTACCTCTTTGATCAACTCTTCAATCTGAGTGAACAAAGGGTGGCTACTGATGTTGAGATAGTTAGAGGCTAAAACTGTAAACCCACCAAAAGTTAAATAAGACAAATGAATGTGCATGTCCATTCGGCCTGGTCTTATCAAAGCTGGATCAAGCCTCTCCTTGTAGTTGGTTGTGAACACAATGATCCTCTCATCCCCACAACTTGACCACAGCCCATCAATGAAGTTCAACAGCCCTGCCAGAGGTAATGAATGGTCATCTTCTGAGCCTTCATTATTGTAGTTTATATCTGCAGTGCAGTCTTCATTAATACCACTATATGCCTGATGTTGCCTGTTCTGCAACTTATTGGTGCTGCAATCTATGTCCTCGATCACTATTATGGACCGATTGGAAGTGGAGACCAACAATTGCCTAAAATCCAAGTTGTACCTCATCTTGGAGAGGTCAAAGTCATATATGTGGAACTTTAGATAGTTTGCCATGGCAGCAACCAAGCTAGATTTCCCGGTCCCTGGAGGTCCATGCAGCAAGTAACCCCTCTTCCAGACTTTACCCACACGGCGATAAAAATCCCTCCTCCTCGCAAACCTATCCAAATCCGCAATGAGTGCCCTTTTAACCTCGGGCTCCATGGCTAAAGTGTCAAATGTTGATGGATGTTGAAGGTTGATTGATGACTCAGAATCATGGAATTCCCCGAGCTGGTAGAGCTTAACTACTCTGTTTTCTTCATGGATTCTTTTTGCAGTTTTTAACACAAAAGGAATGTATCTCCCTAGAACCTTCTCCTTGTGTTGTTTGTGAAAATTCAACTCCATGGATCTATGCACTTTCATTTGTGATTCCTCGCTTCTGATCAGCATCACCCACCTCAATGTGATCCCCTCAAAGGAATCAAGGATTTCCTCCCCCTTGTCAATGCTGACCGAGAAGTCTTTATCTCTCACTGCTTTGCTCAACTTTAGCCGCTTATTCGAGTGGTTGATTTTAGTGCTCAAGTAGGCCTGGGCTGCTTCATATACTTGGTTCTGCGTGAGCCCGTCACATTGCTCATCAATGCTGAGTGTCAGGATTTCTTTTTCTGTTGAAAGAACTTGGAATAGTTTCCCAAGTTTCGTAACAAACTTTTCTTGGAGGTTTTGAGGGATTATTTGGTATGTGATGCTTTGGAATTCATTTAACACAGTTTTCACCACCATCACTGATGCTGCAAAAGCTGTATAGGCTGATACTACGGATGTGGCCGAAGGCAGATTTGTAGCCATGGGTTTTAATGCTTAGGTGTGATACTACTGATGTTGCTTAAGGCAGTTTTTAGGCTAAAATATATAGGCTCCACTACAAACAGAGAAGAAAATGTGAATTAGAGAATTAGTTTTGTGAAATCAGAGTCCAGTAGCTAGACAATATATACACTACTAAATTATAGACAAGAAAAAGCTTCTGTAACAAGACTTGCATAAAATATTACTCGTATTAAGAAATTAATAATGTAGAAGAGAGGTTTCAAAGCTTCTCTAACAAGATTTAATTTCCATCACCTGACACCATAAACAAAGTCAACTATGTTTGCAAGTATCTTATTATTATTTTTAATATCATGCTGTGTTTTGGTAACACCTTTGATAAATGACAGGTTACCACCCTGCTTGTTCTTTCATGAAGAACTGGGTTGACTGCGATTTCTACTGCAGCTTGGTAGTCGAGAACAAAAACACTTGATCTCATGATACTGCAACTGCAAGTACCTGAGAGCTCTCTTGGAGTCTTGGTTGGTTCATAAATCGACTAAGCACCTGGACCGTGAAGCTTATTGTCAGGGCTTATACTCTTATTGCAGTCAAGTAGATCATTTTGTCAAATTTTTGATAAGCTTCTCTTTTCGGAAGAGGTTTATGCCTCTACACTGAATTCGTTGCATGCATCAATTGTGCGTGTATTACAGTTGCATAACCTGACATAATCATCTTAGAAATGATGGGTTTAAACATGAACCTATAATATGTCCTGTTATTATACATTCTACAAATCATGTTGAACATAATCTAGTTGATGTGAACAATTAGGATTTCAAGTAGCAGTACATATTTAAGGAATAAATACTCTTAACTTCTCATCTGAAAGAGAGATACAATGCTCTAAAGATGCAGTGAAAATTTTAACTGTGCTAATTGATAACTTCTGTACCAATTTGCATTTGTAGATTTTCCTGAACCTGTTTGCCTTTTTCCTTCTTAAGGAGGAGCTGCACAAACCCTTGAAGCACTTCATCAATATCATCGCTTTTCATCAGCTCCTGTGCAGCTTCTGCAGGGGTAACTTGTACCTCTTTCAACAGCTCTTCAATCTGCGCAAACAAAGCATGGCTACTGATGTTGAGGTAGTTGGATGATAAGATCTTAAATCCACCAAAAGTCAAATAAGACATATGAATGTGCACATCCATTCGGCCTGGCCTTATCAAAGCCGGATCAAGCCTCTCCTTGTAATTGGTTGTAAACACGATGATCCTCTCATCTCCACAACTTGACCACAGCCCATCGATGAAGTTCAACAGCCCCGCGAGTGGTACTGTTTGGTCATCTCCTGAACCTTCATTAGTTTGCCTGTTATGGAACTTGGTATAGCTACAATCAATGTCCTCGATCACTATTATGGACCGATTGGTTGTGGAAACCAAAAAGCGTCTAAAATCCATGCTCTGCTTCATCCTGGAGAGGTCAAAGTCGTAAATGTGGAACTTAGGTAGTTTGCCATGGCAGCAACCAAGCTCGATTTCCCGGTCCCTGGAGGTCCGTGCAGCAAATAACCCCTCTTCCATACCTTTCCGACACGGTGATAAAACTCCCTTCTGTAATAGACTAACTTATTGCAATTATAATTTAAGACAATTTGCAAGAACCAAGGCTTAAACTTGAGTATTTGATTCACTGATGATTGAATTACAAGGGATAGGCATAACTTGAGGTTATGAATCTCACAGTAGCTTGAGGCCACAAGTCTCTCATGTATTTTCACTAATTTCTCGATAGTCTCTACTGTCCCCTAACTACAATACATATACTCAAGACTTAACTAGAACATGTGACATTAATTAACTAAAATAGAAACCCACAAAGGTTATGATTAAAGGAGGCTGCCTTCTTTCCTCAACTTCCCCTTAATTGGCCTTGTCCTGTTGTTCATTGTTCCTTCTCACAATTGACCCTTGCTGCTGCCCCTGTTTTGCGCGCCTGGAGTACACCAAAAGTGGTGGTTGAATTGGTCCGATAGCTTTGTTGACCTTATTGACCCGTTCCATAACATCACCCCCCCCTGTGAGCTTCACCTTGTCCTCAAGGTGGAAGGAGGGAAAACGCTCATTGACTGCATCGAACTCTTCCCAAGTAGCATCATGCGCTGGCAAACCCTTCCAAGTGAGCAGCACTTCAAGCACGAAAACAGGTCCTTTCTTAATGGTGCGCACCTCAAGTAATTCTGCTGGTTCCACCAACAATTCCAAGTCGGGGGAGAGTTGGGGTGGAATCGTGGGCGGGCAGGTAGAGTCCCCTAATGCTCGCTTGAGTTGTGAGATGTGAAACACGGGATGGATCTTGCAATGTGGTGGTAGTTGTAGTTTATAAGCTACTCTGCCAATGCGCTCCAAAATTTCAAAAGGCCCATAGAATCTGGCAGCCAACTTCTCAAATGGTCTCTTCGCAAGTGATTTCTGACGATAAGGTTGCAATTTAAGGAACACTCTTTCCCCAATCGAAAATTCCTCATCCTTCCTTTGTTTGTCCGCGTAACCCTTCATTACTTGCTGGGCTCGGTTCAAATTCAATCGTAGCTCGTCCAATATCGCATCCCTCTCCATTAACATTTCTTCAAGACTGCTAACCATGGTTTGACCAGCCCTTAAACGCCACAGCTTGGGTGGATCTCTCCCGTAAACCACTCGAAAAGGTGTCATCTTAGTAGAGGTGTGGGGTGAGGTGTTATAAGAATACTCCGCCCACGGGAGCCATCGAGCCCAACTCTTTGGTTTTTCCGCAATGAAACATCGCAAATACATCTCCAGGCTCTTGTTCACGATCTCCGTTTGACCATCGGTTTGAGGATGGTAGGACGTGCTTCTTCGGAGATGCGTTCCTTGCAATCGAAACAACTCCTTCCAGAATATACTCATGAAGACTCGATCTCGATCCGACACAATGGATGCCGGAAATCCATGAAGTCGGACAACTTCTTTGACAAAGAAATCTGCTACTTTGAGGGCGTTAAAGGGGTGTTTGAGACCAATGAAATGGGCATACTTCGACAAGCGATCCACCACTACTAACACCGCGTCGCTTCCTCGGGATAAGGGAAGACCCTCCACGAAGTCCATTGAAATTTCCTCCCAAACAGCCTCGGGAATAGGGAGCGGTTGGAGCAATCCCAACGGCCTCTTAGTGATAGTCTTGCTTCGTTGACAAACATCGCATTCCCGAACAAATTTAGCCACATCTTTTCTCATCCCAACCCAAAACCAATCGGCGGTGAGTCGGAGATAGGTCTTGAGCTCACCGTCATGGCCACCAATGGGGGTACTGTGATACTCCTGCAAAAGTAAAGCAATATATTTTGAATGGTTAGGCAATACAATACGATCTTTATAAAAGAGTCTATCCCCTTCAATGTGAAACCCTTTAGGCCCTTCTTTCCCTTGTTTCAAGCCCAACATAATCTGGCCCAATCCTTTATCATTCTCCAACTCCTTCTCAAGGTCAGTCCAGTCCACATAACAAGAGTGAACTAAAGACCCAAACTCAACCACTTCATCTTCTTTCTTCGTCCCCTTCACTGGTTTGATAACCAGAGCTTCATCCTTGCGTGACAACGCATCAGCCACCCTGTTGGCGGTGCCCGGTTTATACTGAATGGTGAAATCGAACCCCACGAGTTTCCGAAGCCACCTCTGGTATTCACTACTCACTTCTCGCTGCTCAGTTAAGTACTTGAGGCTCTGCTGATCCGTGCGCACAACGAATGATCGACCCAATAGATAATGGCGCCACTTCGCCACCGCCAATGAGATAGCCATTCACTCCTTCTCATAAATCGATTTGGCCCGAGCTCGCACCCCCAAGAGTTTACTAAAGAAAGCAATTGGGCGATCTCGCTGCATCATTACTGCCCCCAATCCGTATCCGGAGGCGTCGGTTTCCACCACGAAACCTTCGCGGAAATCGGGAACAGCCAGGACCGGGGCTGTGGTCATGGCGGTCTTTAGGTTCTGGAACGCTGCCGTGGCTTCTTCCGTCCATCCGTAATTTTCTTTCTTCAATTGAGCCGTGAGGGGGCCGGCAATCTGAGCATAGTGTTTGACAAACTTGCGATAATAACCCGTTAATCCCAAAAATCCCCTAAGCTCACGGAGATTCCTCGGGGTTTTCCACTCTACAATGGATCGAATTTTATCTCCATCCATGGAAACTCCCTGCTTCGATATGACATGACCAAGATATGCAATTTCACCCTTCCCAAATTCGCATTTCTTATAATTTGCATATAATTGATTTTCTTCCAACTTTTGAAGGACCAACTGTAAATGATGGACGTGCTCTTCCGCTGCCTTACTATATATTAAAATATCATCGAAAAAGACCAAAACAAACTTCCTTAAATATGGCCGAAAAACGTCGTTCATAAGTGATTGAAACGTCGCCGGCGCATTTGTGAGGCCGAAAGGCATCACGAGGAACTCATAATGCCCCTCGTGTGTCCGGAAAGCCGTCTTGTGAGTATCGCTCGGTCGAACCCGGATTTGATGATAACCGGATTTCAAATCGAGCTTGGAGAAAACCGTTGCTCCATGTAACTCGTCTAATAGCTCATCAATAACCGGGATTGGATATTTATCGGGAACGGTTTCCTTGTTGAGGGCCCGGTAATCTACACAAAACCTCCACGAGCCATCTTTTTTTTTCACGAGTAAAACCGGACTTGAGAAGGGGCTAGAAGACGGTTTGATAATCCCGGATTCGAGCATTTCCCGGATAAGCCTTTCAACTTCATCCTTTTGAATTTGTGGGAATCTATATGATCTCACACTAATTGGGTCGACCCCATCTTTAAGAACAATGGAATGCTCATGGCCCCTTTCTGGTGGCAGCCCATTAGGCATATTGAAGACCCCTTTAAATTGGCCCAAGACATTCATCAAGTAAGAAGGTGGGCTAACTTCAGTTGGGCCCATTTCTTGTGTTTCAGCTTGGTTGAATTCGACCCAAAGGCCTAACTTCTCTTTTTTAAGCACCCTCACCATGGCCTTTAACGAAACTTGGGTCTTTTCGAGAGTAGGGTCTCCGGTAAGGGTCACCGGCACACCTCCGATGTTGAACTTCATGATGTGAGTACGCCAATTAGTCACCACCGGACCTAACTTCTCGAGCCATTGAACTCCTAAAATTACCTCGGCACTCCCTAAAGTGAGAGGAAAAAAATCCTCAATAACGGTGATACCTCCCCTCAATTCCACCTTGACTCCCTTACACACTCCTCTACCACGAATTGTATCCCCGTTTCCTAAGGATACCGCAAATTCCCCACCTTGTGAGATGGGTATGGCCGCTTGCTCGACTACCGAAATAGCTAAAAAATTATGAGTAGCCCCGGGATCAATCATCACCACTACTTCTTGCCCTTTTACTACTCCCCTCAACTTCATCGTTTTTGGGTTGTGTATCCCGATCACCGAGCACAACGACATGCCTCCAACTTCTTCCGACAGGGTGTCACTTCCCAACTCCGGCCCTTCGTCCTCCAACTCGACTTCACCCTCCGCGACTAACAACACACTAAGCTCCTTTCTCTTACAACGATGCCCTACACCCCACCTTTCATCACACTTAAAGCACAACCCTTTTGTCCTCCTTTCTGCTAACTCACTCTCGGTCAACCTCCTCGTAACCCCGGAAACACTTTGACTTGGGCCCGACGTGGCCCGGCCCAAATTCACGGACCCTTGGGACTCAGGAGCCTTGGGCCAGGGTTTGGGCGGCCCACTGCTGCTGGGTAGCCCGTAGGAAGCTATGAGGCCTCCTTTACTGA